ACGTAGGGTTCTCAATAAAGCAGGAATTACAGCAATGGCATTGAGACCTACAAACTCACTCAGAGACAAGCTCTGTAGGCTGAAAGACCCTGTAGATTGACTCAATTAAACAAAACAATATAATTTACAAAATACCTTGCAATGACTGTGAGTTAGGTCAACTACATGGGTCAGACCAGTAGATCGGGGGTGGTCAGATTGTCGGAATATAAGAATTTAGCTAAGATTAGGATGATTGACCCAATGAAGGTAAGTAATTTAGAAAAAGCTCATAAATTGCACTACACCCACTAGCACACAATCACACAATAGGGTGGTGGGAGAGGGTTACGATTTTAGGAAGCAACATAAGTAGGTGGAGAGAGAGAGATCGATTACTAAATCCTGGTTCATCAAGTCTACACGCAACACATGCTACAGAAATGACTCAATACAAATACCAGAGATATGTAAGATGTTATTACCACCAGTCAAATCAGAGGAGGATAATACATAATCTTAAAATTCTACTTCAATGCACGTACATCATAACATTTTACTAAGCTACTTATCTTCACTTTGATGGTAATTGATCAATAACACACATGTTATTATTTCTGAATATATATTATCCCATATTGATTTTTATTCAATTCCACTCAATATAAGTGAAGTGAAAAGTTGTGTGAGTGACTTGATATGATTATTAGCAATAATTTGTGCTCGAAACGTCATCAGTGTTTAGTACTGTAAAACACGGTGTGATTTATCAAAATAAAATCTTATCCATAATGGAGTTATACTTTGATTTGACACTAGTAACTAGTGTGATGCGTCTAATCCTCTGATTGGTGTAGACGGAATTCTATCAGTCAGGTTGTAATGTGACCACCAGTCTAGCTAGCCCGCGATCACAGTGCACAGTGATTTATTTGATGGTATTAGACGGTCGGAGGCAGGAAGCCTTGGACCTAGGTTTCATGTTAGTTGGCACTCGTCAGCAAGGTGTATCTGTAAGCTTGAAGGAACTCATGTCCCTTCTGAGTTATACTACACCACAGTGGCCAAGTTTTATACTTGTATCAAGAATGTAATCAACATTTTATGAAGTTAACTACAGCCCCCCCCCCACACACACAGTTTTATTTCCCAAGAAAATGTTACAATGTTATCCAATTATTCGGTGAACTATAGTAGCACTACTACATGATTACTGTTGATTTGTGTTCCAGTGGTTCTCAGCACTATTTTTCTGTGAAAATGATATTTTTTCTTTGTCATATTATATTCAATTAAATTAGTATTGTGTTAGTGTTCAGAAGTCGTTGAAGCTTTGGTACAAAGAACCAACATTTCAAACCAAATCGAGCCTTTCAGTTCAGCATAAGCGAGCAGTGGGAAATGCAAACTAACTTAAGTAAATAATAATTGATATCTGTTGCCGAAGAAATGGTTCTTCTAGCCCATTTGCTTTGGGAACGATGAATTCAGGGTTGGCGTCTCAGTGGGAATGAAAATCACACACAAGGGATGCAGGGACATTCACTAACTGCCTGAAAGATCTCATATTACACGAAATACGCATTCTGAATTCAGCTGTGAGCCACTGTCAGCTGAACTAACATCTATTGAGGCTTTACTCTGTGATTATTCATGCTATTACTGATTTCTAACACATGGTTATTTAAAGAAATACATCACTATTATATATTTATCACATTGGATTCCAACTGCAACACAGGGTTTCAACAGCTAGTCTCAATTTCATCCCACTTTGTTTTTTAGTGCTCTTTAGCTGGACTCACAATAACCAATAAGATTAAACTTCATCCTCACAATGTCTCCTGAGTGTTGCCCCTAGACTTATGTTCAACTTATCGTTACTTATTCGAGTTCCACTAGAAAAATGACGACCTGGTGCGCAATATCAGCCAGCAGTGTCTTCAGCAAACGTTCAATCCATGTTCACTTTCTTCTGCATGTTCGTTGAGCAATAGGATCTTGATTGGCTTTTTCTCAGAGATTTCTGGCCATTTGATCATCAATATGGAGTAGAGGTAGCTGTTGATAAAAGTCTGCAACCTGTTGGAAATACTGTTCAAAACGCGTGCGCCAAATCTCTGACCCATATGTAGGAAATGACCGATTTAATATTAGTTCTGAAAATTAGAATTGTGTTCTTTGTGCTGTGGAGTGCAGAAGATTTCCAAATTGATTTCACACTGATGAAGGTCTCCCTTGCATTTCCAATCTTGGCTGGCTATGACATCCTCATCCACGCTGTCACCTGTATTTGAAACGACGCTACCATGGTCAGATAAGTTATGGAAGTAACCTCCGTCGAATTTCTTCCGTCAATAGGGATTGTTGCTTGTCGCTGTCATTCGTTGGTTGTCTTCATTACCTCTGTCTTTACTAGGATCATTTGAATTTCTGTCCATGTTGCCAGCCTGTTCTGTGAACTTGTTGGTTTTCACGTGTAGATCTTCGAATTGACTTGGCATTAGACATAAAGTGTTGGCAAAGTCTGGATCTTACAGAGTATTCTTATCGGTGCAGTGTATTCCTCTCTTCTTCCTCCCGGTGAACAGTCTTCCATATGGTCCAGTCCACCACAATTAAGAATATCATCGGTTCCTTCCCTTGTGGTGATTATCTGTGTTCAACTTTGTGATTCATTGGATGTATGACATTGTTATTCACCTGTTGAATGAGGTTGGAAAAGATTTGGGATACTTCATATGGATGAACAATATTGTTTTCAGTTAAAGATTCATAGAGCTTTACTAGAATGTGTATAAAAGTTTACCGCTTGTGATGGTGATTTGAGGGTCAAGGATAAATGCTTGATATGTTAAATCATAGCTATGGTAAAATATCGCAGACCACGCAATTAGTCCGTGGTTCAGTCTTCGACCGACGTACTGCTGAATCTCGCTTCGACGGTAGTAAACAGGGAGGATTGGACGAATGGATAGTAACTTTACCCTGTAAAATACAACACTGCCACTGAAATGTCAAAGCTCAAGCTTGAAGTCCCATGTCTCCATTCGTAACGCAGAGGATTGAAATTAAAAGAAGTAAAAGCAATGAAGATAATAGTAACAGTGTCAATAATAACAATGGTACCAGCAGTTGAACGGAAAGCTAAGATAATAATGATAAAATTAGAAGTTACATAGTACCATATATAAAGTAGTGAGATTATCGGAGTTCAAGTGACAGATTTATTTATTGAATTCACGTAGACCAAGAGAGAGACAGAGACTGGAAAACTGCTTTTGAAATCCCAGATTACTATTACACTCCGAAATTCCTATCGTTTTCGTTATGCAAAAAAGACGGGGTTTGAATTCTCGCTGAAAGATTTGATGGAATATTGCATATACTCACGAAAGTTCAGTTTTTCCCCACTTGATAACCGTAATAATTCAGACGAGATAAAACTGAACTTTTTGTTAATTTTGGCAGACAGTATGCAAGCTACAAAGACAGGTGTTTAGCAACGCACCTAGGGGAGTCGCCTACAATTTTCTGCATGAGGCTTTTTCACAAAGGTAGCTAAACGTGTACATAGAAGCGGTGAAGCTAGACAGCATGTATTTCATTCAAGCAATGATAATTAGTCGATTTTATGGATACACCTTTCGAAAATAACATAACTTGTGTCCTTTTGAGCCTGGAAGAGATTTTGAAATCAAAAATCCTATAAAATTTATAAATTAAGCCTCATTATTATTATTCTCATGTGCTTCATGTGGAACACAGGGATTAAGAAGCACATCATCATTTCACTATGTTCAGTGTAGTCCTTTTTATCTGGCTCCACGATTGCCGAAAAGCTATCACTTACTTCTATTCCAGTGTACAAGTTCTATTCTACTATCAATTACTGCTAATACGACTTCCTTCCATCATGTCATCTTTAACCAACTTGTCGCTCCTCATTCACTTTCCGCATGAGGGCCTGGCCTGTGATTTTGCCCAATGGTCTTCTTAGTGTATATCCAATCTGTCTCCATTTTCTTCAGAAAGCTTTTTATCTGATAGTGTCTCATTTGGTTCATTGTCAGGTTTCCTTGTTGCTTTTCCCTTCTGACCATCTGATATCCAGTATGGCGGAAAAGGGTGCAGCTATTGTTGAAAACCTGAAGTAGACTGTTAGAAATGCTCTTCGCGACAGTCCAAGTCTTTGAACTATGCGAGAGCACCAACTAAACATTACTAATGAAGGTCCGGATCTTGTTTCTTCCGCTAATAGGTAGAATCCAGAACAACCAGCATTTAGTCCTGTTTGGGACTCGTCATTGGATCTACCCACATTCCTCAGTGAGTGATGGTGTTCTCACCGAACCGTTATCCACTAGACCAGTTGACCCACGAGAGCCACCTCCTCTTCAACGGATCTTATTAATCATTTAATTCAACTTCCCTTCAACTGTTTGGACAGAAGTGCTCAGTCTCAGGTTGAAACATCTGCACAAGCAGCCGACACATCAACCTGAGACAGAACACTTCGGTCCAGTCAGTCGGCGGGAAAATCTAAAGTGAATTAAGTTATTAGTACATATTGTTGTTGTTGGTTGGGCCTCTTCATCACTACCGTCTTCTATATGTTCCGCGGAAGTCCTAACGTGTTCTCTGTTACTTGTGACAACGCGTTTCATTTTCTCTGTAGATCATCAAGTTTGCGCGACACTGGACATAGATCAGCCGGGAAGTCCAGACGTTTTTTAGTGTCTCTCTGTGTCAATCGAACGTATGCTCATCTTAGGTAGAACCTTAAAAGATAGTGCATAATGGTAATCCATGTCTTCTGTGAATATAGTGAATTACTTAAAAATATAACTGTAAGACTTATTTTATTCATATATTGAGTTATGATGTCAATTCAGATATGATCTCGAGTGTTTTTTACCTGACAGCATATTGTACAGAGAAAAATTAGGTTCTAAATATATATTTAAATCAATAACAGACTTTTTAAAAAAGATGTCTATCACCAGTAAGAAATGACTTACCAAGCCACCATTTTTCTGATACTTCATTTAACGCACTAACAGGCATAACCAAGGTAGCCACCATTAAATCTGCTATGGCCAAACTCAGTATGAGATAGTTAGAGACACGCTAAATGCAGAAAAGGGATAAAAAAAACACAGGAAAGATATTGATTTAGTAAAACATGCATTGAATGTGTAGTTATTGTCATTTGTGGTGTAAAAGTCGAATTCATGCACTATAATAAAGGTACTGTCTACGAGATGGATTGTAAGGATAAATACTCACCCCTTGTTTAGTCGTTCATGGTGATATTATATAAAACAAACTGACAGAAGTTAGAACTCATGAGTTTTCAAGTGTTGATTTTGTAGGGATTTTGCTTGATTGGATGGAGGATTTCATCATGAGCTGACATCAGTTAGAGAACCACTGGAAAACCCTTCCAGGGAGTACTGGACGACTGTTTCCACCGTCCCAGTTGGGAATTCTTCAGCAGTAAGGTCCTGAGTTCAAACCTCGGTGAGTGCGTACTGTTGATGAGTCCCAAACTAGGATGGAGGAAACAGCTGTTCCGTACTCCCTTGCAGGTTTTCCAGTGGTTCGCTAACTGATGCCCGCTCATGATGAAATCCTACGTACAATTAAACTAATGAGTTATTAAATTCTGTCGCAAAGGTTCAACGATCTCACAACGCAACCTGGTGGAGGTCATCGATTCGATCCCTATCGGTGGCCGGCATAGTGCTTACTGCAGAAGAGTTCATAACTAGGATGAGACAACTTTCCAGCACTCCCTTGTTTTCAATAGTTCTGTAAATGATATTGTTTTGTCATCTAATTTGAAATCAATTAGATTCCCGCAAGTCAACACTTGAGCACTTTTGACTGTTTCACAAACGAATCAGAGAAGCAACATGTACCTTTCACATTTAGTCGTTTATAAAATAAGTTAAATTAGTGCCTGATATAACCGGAAGGGATCAGTTAGTCTGATGTTATTAATCCATAAATATCTAACACAAGTAGAAAGAAAACTAATAACCTTGAAATAAAGACCAAACTGCTAGAATTTAGGTTCATGAGAAGCATGATTTATAAATGAATTAAGGAATTCATTAGTAGAGTTACGACGTTAATTTATTGTTCTGCTGTACTGCTTTCAACGTATTAAACAATACAAATTGTACACACATTTGAACTTAAATTCTTTCAGTTTCATAAGTAGTGTTTAATTGATGGATGGTGACTAGCAGTGGAATCCAGGACAATGCGCATTTCGTCCTATATGGGAGCCGTCACCTGGATGTACCTGCATTTACCAGTGAGTAATGATGTTCCCACCGAGGCTCGAACTCAATGCCCATAGTGTCAAACGCCAAAGCTGACGAAATGCGCATCCTAGATTTATGAAAAAAACTGACATCAGTTAGAGAACCACTGGAAAACCTCGGAGTGCCGGACAGCTGTTTCGTCCTAGTTTGACACTCTTCATCAGTGTGCACCCACCGGGGTTCGAACCAAAGACCTTTGGCTAGTGGTCGCGCTATGTCGTGAATTGGCAGAAGTTAAGATTCAAGGATCATTGGATCGGTCTACAAGCTAGCTGGCTTTGTAACCAGAAGGTCATGGGTTCGAAGCTAGGTGGTGGGTGCATACTGATGAAGAATCCCAGACTAGGACGAAACAACTGTCCAGTAATCCCTGGCAGGTTTTCCAGTGGTTCTCTAACTGATGTCAGCTCATGGGGAAATCCTCCATGCAATCAAAAAAAAATCCCTACAAAACACATACTTGAGAATAATTAAAAGTTGTAAGATCTAGGGTAGCGGCTTTCAAACTCCATCATCTTTTTACCTACGCTAAGAGTTCCGGCTGCCCACTTGGACATCAGTTCACTTCGTGCACCAATGAGATTTTGATAAAAAGGCAAACCTATTTCCGGCATCCAACAGTTACCATATTTCTTGACCTGAAAGTGCCATTTGATTCCGTCGATCAAGAGATATTATAGCAGTGTTTAACCATTTAGGGAATGTCGAAAAAGTATATCACATTGGTCAAGGCACTCTACTTGAACTCATGCTGCCGGTCAGCCTAAGAGAGTTGTCATCTGAAGTGGTGACAACCTCCGGCGTCTGTCAGGAATACCCATTGTCCCCATTCCTGTTTAAATTCCATCATAGATGTACTGATGGAATTAACCCCAGCTGACTCCAGTGACTCAGGGATTGACTTGTTACCACCAGGAAATAATCTCGTTAACTTAGAATATGCAGATCATGCAGTCAGCCCTCCGAAGTGAAGATGCTGACAAAATGCAAAGTCTCCGGAACACCTTGAGCAGTAGCAATCTTCGAATGTTTGGCATGCGATTCACCTCTGCCAAATGTAAGTCCAGACTACATCGACTCCTAGCTTAGAGATAGGGAGTGAAGTGGTTGATAAAGTGTGCTGACCAGCGAGTTGATCCCTGATGAAAGCTCATCAGGAATACAGAAGGCTCGTTTGGGATTTATTAGCCAAATCACACCATCTCCGGCCTATTAGAAGTGATATCCGGTTGTCAAACAAGAGACGTGTGTACTGCTTAGCAGTTCGCTTTGTTCTCCTGTATGGCTGTGAAATATGGCCATGGAAAATGGAAGATATGAAAAGACCAGCCGTCTTTGATCATAGGTGTCTGCGTTCTGTCTCCCATGTTAGTTGGTATAATAGAGTGAGCAATATTGAGGTCAGGCATCAGTCGACTGTTAGGCAAGGAGGGTAAATCAACCAACGAGGCTGTGTATTTACACCAAAATGAGATGATTAGAACACGTGTTACGCATCTTAGGGTAGCCATCGCCTTCCTAGACGGGAAATATTAGCTGAATGGCATAAGATCAAGTTATAAAGGAGCTATTGGTGATCAAACTGAAACATAGCTTCACCAGTCAACGGAATCTACAACAGTTATTTTAAGCCATCCAGACAGCCACGTAAGGAGCTGTAAGCTAGCTGACGTTTTAGGGTCCTCGCGAAGGTCATAACCAACGAAGGCTGGAGACAACTAATGATATGGCTCAATATCGTTGTCAATGGTTGGCTCAGATGGATTCACTCTTTGTGGTATGTCATATCCCACAAGGCCCCTACTGTTTTATTATCTTACTATATTGTAATCTCTCTTTTGAATCTCTCTACACTCCCTTCTTTTACTTTGTGTCGCATATGGAGTGGAGTGTGGCAAATCGAATTGCTGCAAATCTGTGCAAAGTTCTATGTTAAAACCAGCCAGTCAAGTACTACTGGTAATACCCAACTCTCGTTTGAACCATTGACATGCTACTATCCATTTACAATCACACTACCTTGTGCCTACATAGGTCTTATTATGTCAATTCTAATCACATACGCGATTATTAGAAATTCAGCAGGTCGGTAATGGATAATGAAATTAATAATTAATAATTAATTCTCTAACTGATGTCAGCTCATGATTAAATCCTCCATGCAATCAAACAAAATCCCTACAAAAACCAATACTTGAAAATTCATCTGATGCTCACTAGTGACTGGCCCTATTCAGGCAGTTAACCTGGGGTTCTAGTGGGAAGCCGTGACCAGTAGGGTACAGCAGGTCGAAGATGAGGCAGTAACTCATCGAAGAAGACATTGCGAAGTGGTCGCGCTATGTCGTGAACTGGCAGAAGTTAGAATTCAAGGACCATTGGATCGGGTCCCAGTGGCTCAATGGTCTACGAGCTCGCCTTGTAACCAGAAGGTCCTGGGTTCGAATCCCGGTGGGTGCGTACTGCTGAGGAGTCCCAAACTAGGACGAAACGGCTGTCCAGTACTCCCAGGTTTTCCAGTGGTTCTCTAACTGATGTCAGCTCATGATTAAATCCTCCATGCAATCAAACAAAATCCCTACAAAAACCAATACTTGAAAATTAACTAAAATAGTTTCGAGTCGGTAGACTATTACTGATAACTGATGATTGACTGAAGATTACACTGGATAAGTCTGAGTCACGGCAGCAGAATTTGTAACCACCCGCCTCCGAATCGCTTGATCATCGCTCTAACTCTAACTCATTATCTTAGAGGCCGAAAACGAAAGAAACCACAATGATGCGTAAAAAGGGAAATGCTAACTATTTTTGCTGTTATTATTATTTAATTAACAAAAATAATCATCTTCTCTAGAATGTAGGGTAAATCACAAATCACTACTGGAATATTTCTCTTCAATTACCCAGCATACATATGTATATAAACAAATTAATTAATCATCAAGGTCATTCAATGTTAAACTAGGATAGATAACATGGTATGTAAGTCAGTAATTATTAGCCCCATGTATAAAATGATGATGATGATTTTGGCTGTGTTTATTCGAAACACGCTAATTCTGCTTCCCTATTCTAAAGATTAGTTTTTATGAATAAATCCATTAACCTGCAAGCTTTTCCTTCTTTTCTTCGTATTGTTCATTATAGCATACTTACTACTATCTAATCGAAAACTACTAAGATGCGAAAGAGATAAGTTAATGTTCTGATTTCTGCTACTTTGGATAAAATACCACTTCAAAAATTAGAATCTATTTGGCTATGGAATTAATTGGTTTTCTTTTGTGTTTATACGAAATAAAGCATTCTGTTTATTAGCTGACAAGGGAAACTGGTTATAAGCCAAGTGTATACACTACTGACAAATTGAAAACAGTAGTTAAAATCCAGTCATGCTAACCGGTAGTATTTTATCATCTGTCTCGTTTGACATCAACTCGGATAGACGAATTCTGGTTATCTAAATGAAACAAACATTGGACAACCGCATCCAAAGGACCTTAAACAAGCTCACGAAAACTGGACAGATCACAAAACAAAACCAATGGCGAATGAAGTCCAGTGGACCACCCCTACCTTGATTCTCCAGCAGACCGAAAATAAACAAGCCAAAATATCCCGTTACGACCAATTGTATTACTCACAGGAACTCCAACATATAATTTATGCAAAGAATTATACAGAAAACTAAAACACCTAACGGAATCTTGTGATCACTCCATCAACTCTGCTATCCAATTCCTAGAGAAAATTAAAGGCATCCAAGTAGATGAACTAGAAATAATGGTATCT